TGGGGGGGGGGGGGGGGTAGGGTATAATAGTGATTGTGACCAACTATTTGGTTGCTCTGTGATCAAGTATTGGTGGTGAATTGGAATCGGCAATGAAGTGTTTGGTATATATGACCAATGATTTAGTCTGCGACATTAAAATTTGATAATTTGTGACTTCAACGATTTGGTCCGTAACCTTAAAATTTGATAATCTGTGATCTATAAAACTTTTGATCTGTGAAGTCAAAATTATCCGTGACCTATAAAAATTTTGATTTATGACGTCGAAAAAATCTGTGACCAATTATTTTGATTATACGTGACCAGTAAATAAATCAGTGACCTATAATTGTGAATATGTGACCATTAATCGTATAGCTGTGACTTTATTATTATTATTTAATAAATATTTTTAATTAATTAGTTAAAATCTGATTTTTGCATTAATGAAACTTGTAACTTGAATTTTGAATCAGGCATAGTTAAAACCTGATTTGTGAACTCTTCCCTTCTTTATTCCTTTTCATTTTCTTTCAAGTCTCGTGATCCTAACCCATTATGTTCATTATATTCGAAAATCACTTTTTAATATACTTTTAATGGTCAAAACGAGCCCCTTTATTCTAAATTCATTTATTGAGAATTAATCAAACCTCCCCCAAGGAGGATTCAAACCTACTATCAATTGGTTAACAACCACCTCTCTACCGAACTAATTGAGGATCAACAAACGAGTAGATCTCGTATAGTTCAATTCACGTTCCACCAATGATTAATATGAGCTCGAAGTTATTTGTAATTCTCCTGGAACCTTGTGTTCGTTTCATGGGGACAAGGTCTAGGCATTGATAGATTTAGAAATTAAGTTACTTATCTTATTAGGATAAAAGAAGTTCTGAACCGTTACATTGGCAGTGTTAGTGCTATTTATGTAAATTTTCCTTCGAGAATTGGATTAGTTAGTCGGGTTGGAGGGTCGGACTTCATTTCTGGACCAGAGATATGGGCGTCAGTTGGGCTATAATTTTACCTGATTACCAAATAAATACGGGGAAATTTACGCTTTGGCTCCCCAACTTTTGCACCCATACTCCGTAAAATAAAACATTTAAGTTCTCATTATTACACTTTGTTAGCATCCCAAATATAAGAAAATTATTTATATTACTATGTGAAAAAATCATTATACCCTCATTTTGAATCAAAAGGATAAAGAAGTAAACAAAAAAAATCAAATTCTATCATCTTTTAACATTGGAAAGTTGTTACATCTTTGCAAGTTGTTGCATCTTTGCCTATTCCAATTGCCATCTCCACATGTTATAAAAAAATATATCCCTTGTTCGAGCGACATTATTTTTATAATAATGTATTTTTAAATAGTGTATTAATGAAAAATATATAGTTAAAAAATAAGAAAAAAAATTTGAATCTGCGTGTAATATTATTTTATTGAAAAATGTGTGATTGAAATGATTTCAAATACTATTTAAAAATGTATTTTTTGAAAGAATCTGGCTCAACGGGGCCTAAAGTAAGTAGTTCATAACATTTCTTGTTATAAACAGTTTGGTAAAATTCCGACACCTTAATTACTTCTACCACTTGATATCTTGTTTTAGCTTGTTTGCATTAATTTTCTCCGATTTCTTCCGTATTAGTTACATTAAAAAAAAAAAAATTCATTCTAGACAAGAATTATAGTAAATATAAACCATTTCTTTTGAGTTAGATCTTGTTGCTCATGAACTTCGAGAGTAATAAAAATAAGTACATAAGCTTTTCCTCATCAATTATTAAATTTGGTATCTTTACTTTCTAGTACTTAGGTAGTAACTAGTAAGTCAATAATGAGCGAATCCACGATAAAAAATACAGTCTTTGGCCTAAAGGTATATGAAGGAGTGGATCGGTGGATTAAGGAATGAAAGCTCGAAAACAATGAGAATTGAATTCTTCCAAAAAAATTTATAACTTAATAATACGAAAAAAATCAATATACCCACAACCAAAAAAATAAAATAAAATTGCTATTATCCATTGAATGATATATATACTAATAATACTATAAAACACAACAAAGAACCCCAAAAATACTGGTATTTAAATTTTCTATTATAACGATCCGATATTTATACTTATTACTGTGTTTGCTATTTTAATTTATATTTAGCAATTTATTAAAATTTTAAAAAATACTTCTTTTAAATAGGAACTCTATTTTGATTGTCATATTATTACTGGTTTGTCGAGTAAAGGTTATACGTGGAAGGATATTTAGGTGGCCACCGCATTTTTATACCCTCCGACACGTAAATGCCATGCAAACCGCTAAAATTACTATAAATTAAACACGTTCACCGCCACTGCCCCGTCACACCATCAAAAACCCACAAAATTCACAATGGCAAAGCAGACAAATATTGCTGCTCTCCTTTTGGTTCTCTTGGGCTTAGCCGCCGCCGTCACAACCACCATGACAACCACCACAATGGAGGAGAAGGAGAACACCGGAAAGTTCCCTCAATGCCGGCAACAGGTGGAGGGACGCGATTTCCGCTACTGCCAGATGTTCTTGATGCAAAGAACCACTTATAATGATGGAACTTTGTTGAATATGGTTGTCACTAGCACCAACCGCCGTGAGCAACCAATATTTAAGAAGAAATGCTGCGAACAATTGCGTGGCATTAATTCGCAGTGCGTGTGCGACGCGGTTAGGCACATGGTGAAGCAGCAGAAGGGTGAGAAAACGGAGAAGATGAAGAAGAAAGCTTCGATGCTTCCTCGTATGTGTAATATAAGAAAACAACCCTGCCCTAGGTACTAAACAGGCACATCAGTGATCAGTTCATAGTTAAGTTTATTTTCGTACCTTTTAATTAGAGGTCAGGTCAAGCCTCATCCTAAGAATCTTTTTTAATAGTTTTTATGGCGTGTTTAGGGAAAAAATAAATTTCAAAATTTTATCTATTTCTCTACTGATTTCTATCATTTTCTCAATCTATTAATAAGAGTTCTTTAATTTCTGTTTTTTGTTTTGCAGTCAGAAATGAATTAAGTGGTAATTGGCTTAAAAGAAACTATCACCACTATATACAAGAAATTTTGCTTCTTTCGACTATTGTTTTTATTATACACTTTTTGGTCGACTATAGTGTTTGTCATATATAAGCGTCATAATTTATAAATGATAAAAACTTTATTTTTAAACACACACATTTTAATGCATTAGCTCCTGTCTGGTTTTGTTATTCTATTCTATTTTGATGAATGTTAATAAAATGTGTATCAAAAAATAAAATAAATTAAAATTTTAAAAATAAAAAAATAAAAAATTCTGTTTTTTATTTAAATCAAGCGGGGTTTAATCATTAAGATTAACATGTAGTTGATATTTGTTAGAATTTGAATGTGATGAAAGTTCTAATTAAAATGTACAATAAGAAAACTCTATTTGTAATACTACTGTGAAATCCTATTCAAGTGAAAATTCTATTTGTAATACTATTGTGAAATCCTATTCAAGTTTACTAGGCTGGCGAATTCAAATTGAAATTCTATTTGGAAGATTATTGGGAATAGGAATTTGTCTTAAACTTGAAGAGGACATTGTAACGAAGAAAATTAAGATTTTAGAGTAATGGACTTGAAGGTGGGGTCATGACCTGGAGGTGATTTTTGTTCTTCTACTCCGTTCTTGCATTCTACCTCAACTAACCCTGTACTATGAGGGTTTAGAGGTCCTCTATTTGTTTTCAATATATAGTTGGCTTCTTATTGGGATTTAGTATGACGTTAGAAACATTGTAAACACATAATTTTTGTATTTTTTTCTTCACATTATAATAAAATCTTCATTCTCTACATATTTACATTGTTCTTATGATTAATAACTTCATAATGTGGTTTAATCTTTTATTTTCTCCATCAATGTAGCATTGGATTAATCCAATATCATCTCCACTTCACAATAAACTGGTATCAGAGCTTTAGGTGTTGAAATTTTTGGGAAGATCGAGGTTTTTTGTGATGCCAACAATGAAGTATGATATTTTGCTATTAGATCGCAAAACAAAATTCTTTTTGTGTAAGGTAAGGATTTGAGCAATACTTGTTCAGATGGATTTAGACAATGCGTTGTTGGAATTTGAAGAAATGTCCAAGACCAAGACTATAAAGGAGAAACAACTGAGTGATTGAAAGGCCCTCCTCAAATACATCTTCATCTTTCAAATAATATTCTTCACGACGTTTTGAAGGAGCGGTCAACAGCTGCATTATGGTTAAAATTGGAGCAATTATGCATGAAGAAGAATCTTATTAGCAAACTAAATCAGAAATAACGTCTATATTCTCATCGTATGACGATAGGTACGTATCTTGAGGATCATCTAGGCGCTTTTAAACAAATCGTCTGTGATTTAGAGATCTTGAAGGTCAAATATGATGAAGAAAACTTGTGATTGATTTTGTTTTGTTCATTACTTGCCGCATAAGTTTCTTTTAGAGACACGATACTATATAGTCATGATACTCTCACCATCGAAGAAGTCTACGATGATCTATATTCAAAGAAGAAGATGAACCATCTTGCAGCATATGGGGATCATGGAGATAGTCTCATTGTTTATAGTAATCGTTCTAGGGACAACTTCAAATTTTGTAATTATTACAATAAAAAAGAGCACTTTGTAAATGATTATTATAAGTTGTAGAATAAGCAAAAGTCAACTACAAATCAAAAATCAGTAACTTCAGGAGAAGCAACTATTGCAGAAAATTCTAGCAGTGATGGAGAGATCTTATTTATGTCTGACTACAACTCCAAACCTAATGAGGCTTGAGTTTTGGATGCAGTTGTATTTTTTATATGTCACCCAATCGAGGAAAAAAGAAATGCCCAGTAATAATACACCTTGACGAATAGTTGGTATTGGTCGGGACAGAATAAAGATGTTTGATGGGACGTTAGAACACTTGATGCTATGAGACACGTTCCAGATTTGAAGAAAAATCTTATCTCCTAAGTACCCTATATTCAAAAGGGTACAAGTACATTGTTGAAAGTGGAGTCCTGAAAGCTATTGAAGGAACTCGTGTTGTGCCGATAGAACGTAGAAGATTCCACTTATATATCTTGCAGTGTGATACAGAATCTTCGAGTAATCGGCATATTTTAAGAACTCGGGTGGATTTAGAGTTGGCTTTTGGACCATTGAAGTTCAATTTCAGATCTTCTTATGAGAATACATTTCATTTGACTTTTGAAGATATGGCCTCCATTATCGATGGTCATCGTATTAATTGCTAGAAAATAGACCTATCTTTTGCCATAAAATTTCACATAGATATAATTATGCTACTTTTGTTGATGTTTGAATGCGGTTAAGGATGTTGATTCTAGTCAAAATCCTTCTTTAATGTATTCAATTATTGTGATTTTATTACAAAGCTTGTTTCAATCTTGTTTGGTAATCATTACATCACTTTTGCCCTTAGTTAGGGTAATAGATATGGAGAATATTTTCAGTTAGAATTGTTGATAGAGAAGTTCGTTTATATTTTTCATTGAAGAGTTAAAGTTTAATTTTTGCAGCGGAATTTGTCTTCAAGTGATTTTTTTTTTTTTTTAGAAGTTTTGTTCATTACAGTGGAATTCGTATTAAGGTAGAGATTAATAGAATTTGGGTGCAATTCGAATTCTATATTAAAAATAATTGAATGTTCTAATTAATGTACATATTAAGAAGAATTTTATTTAGAATATTATTTTGAAATCTTATTGAAATTTACTTGACAAATGCTAATTGAAGTTCTATTTAGAAGTTCATTGTAAGTAGGAATTTGTGATTAATTTAAAGAGGAGATTAGGATGAAGAAAATCAAGATTTTGGAGTAAAAGACCCAAAAGTGGGTGTCGCGGCGCCACCTGTTTGTTTTGCCTCTTACACGATTTTTGTCTTCTATCTGTTTCTTACATTCTATTTCAATTACAATTCTACTATAAGGATTTGGACATCCCCTATTTGTTCTCTATATATAATTGACTCTTCATTATAAGTTAGTAAGAACATAGAAACATTTTAAACACGTAATATTTATATTCTTTCTTCTTATTATAATAAAATATCCATTCTTTGCAAAATTACATTGTTATTGTGTTATTGTGATCAATTACTTCATATTGTGAGTTAATCTCTTATTTTATCCAAAAAAGTGGTACTTAATTAATCCGATATCATCTCCGCTTCAAAGCAATGTTCTTCAATTTTGTTGTTGATTTGTATTTTCGACTATCAAAACGTGATCGTCAAACAATTTTCAAGACAACAATGGTCAGATGTAAACGTGTAAACAAAGTCATCATAAAATAAAACTCAAGATAGAAATTAAGAAAAAGAAAATTTAAGGAGGAAAAGCCATGTCAGCTATCCCAATTCCTTTGAAAAAAGAATTTTACTACTCAAACAATGGCCTTGGGCTAAGGTGGTGACAGGGCCTTTAATAGGGCCCAGGCCCCTGTGATCGGGGCTAAGGCGATCTGAAATTTAAATTTTTAGATCAAGGGTTGAGGTGATTTCAACCCTGTCACGGAGCCTGTGACATGCTTCTGTTTGTGTAGCATCCTTCCTGTAAAAATCAAACAGCCTCCTTTCCAAAATAAAATCAAAATTTCTGTTAATTCGTATCCTTTTTCTAAATCTACAAATCAACTTTTCATAGAACTAGAAGTTCATTACCATGTACTACAGAATTTCTTTTCAACAACCACAGTTATATAAAAGTTTAAGAAATTACATTTTGTCCCTGTTTCATAGGTATTTAAAATTAAAATTTTAATTGAATTTCATAAAAGTTGATAAAATGTATGATTGAATGGATTTTATAAAACGTATGATTAAAATTAATTGTTAACTTTGGCTTAAATAAAAAATTGGATTTTAGTTTCGACTAAACAAATTTCATGTGTTCTAGTCACATTTCTCATTATCATATTTCAAGTTTATATCTCCTGGTTTCAGACCTCACAAGTTGGAGACTTCATAAGTCTAAATGTTTAGAATCACTATTTGAAGGAGAGTTCATAGATCTACAAGTTCGGAAAGCCCATAGTCTCATCATAATCTTTACAGATGAAACAAAATGCTGAGTTAGAAATTGGTGCTTTCACATATTATTTGCAAGACCAGTACTAGGAACAATATCATATAATTACCTTCTATCTTTTTTAATTACCTTAAAAGCGCATTTTGGAAGTTGGAACAAAAACTCTTTATTCTTAACCTGATTTGCTCTAGCTTTATTGACCAAGCCAACCTCTTATTTATGTGCGTATCAAGCTTGACTTTTTGATTTATGTATGCATGAAGCTTAATTTTTTTACCTTCAAGAAGTAGGATAAGAACTCCTTATTCACTGCTGATATGATAAGAGAACTTTAACTATGATTGATTTTCCCTTCTCAATAAGGGATAAAAACTTCCTAGTGCTTTTCACTAGGGCGGAAGATCAATTCCATGTGTATATTAGCTTTTTAACTATTCAATAAATTCTTCGATAACAATTTTATAAAGTCCTACACTGCATCTAGAATTTGCAAGTAGCTTGATTTTGTAGCTTTTATTTATAACATTGTTTGGTAATACTTGCTCCAATTGATCTCATCCCAATTTACACAATCCAAATCTTCTAACAGAATTTTCCTAAATTTTCTCCTTTATACATAGAGGAGAAAATGATATAACTACATGACCCATTTGAGCCCTGTAGGCTTATCATAGGGGCCAGCTGGCCCCCTAGCACGTACAGGGCCCATGCCACCGTATTCATGTAGCTTGTTTCATATATAAATCATGTTTGGTGTACACTACAGTGTAACCAAATTTGACAGTTTCCCATTTGACAATTTCAAAAAAAAAATAGTTTCTCTCAATATTTTTTTATGAATAAGCAAGTGTCAACTTGAATGTACACTTTGGAGTGTACAAATTGCAATTTCCTTTATACATTGCCTTTGTCTAGAAT